TCAATATGTACAAGTCAAGTATTTATAAGTCTGAGAAAATCAATCAAAAGTCTTAAATTTTCCACCTGGCTTATAATTTTATAGTTTATATACATTTTTTATTTGATCAAATTCTAACTTTGGTTTTTGTTGTATCCACATCTGTTTCAACCCATTTGGCCCATGTTTTTTGCCCAGCCCGAAAAGCTTCAACCCGATCCATATCTTTCAATATTTTGCCATTATATTCAACAAAATCCCATCTACAACCAATATTCGCACATTGCAAAACTCATTTTATAAAAGATAAAAAGATATAGTGTAATGCATGCACTAGTTCATGGTCATGAGTTTCAGAAAGTGTTCAGATCATGCTAGGTCTATTATATGCAGATTTATTTTGTATTTCTGCATGAGACTGTTTTCATGACGTGAAATCTTAATTTCTTGATCGTATTGAGTAAATTGAAAATTAAAAAAGAAGATGTAATAATAATGAACATACTGTTGTCCTGGTGGTCTTCTTGTAAACCAAAGCCAAGTATTGAATATTAAAAGGTCAAAATTCTTCCAAATTTGTCCATCTTTAATTGAATCTAGTTTCAACACACGTCCAATTTTTTCAACTTCAATGTCTAGTAAAAGGTTCGAATGAAATAATACTATTTCAACTCCATAATCCTGCAAAATTAAGAAGAAGGAAAATACTTTAGGTTTTTCTTTAAATAAAAGACATACACACAAATCTAGATCTAATAATGTAAAACATAAATATTCTTTGTTTCAATTTATTTGACTTGATTTGGAATATGATCGAGGGGTCAAATCAATTTCTTTATATGTTAATTTTTTAACATATTTAGAAATTACATTAAAAAATATTAGCATAAATCACAATATAAAACCGACAATTTAAAATATTTAGAAAGTATTTTAAGAGAAAATATCATTTGACAGTCTAGAAACAAAGGTAATAACTTACATGAGCAATTCTTTTTGTTTTTAGAGAAATACATTTGTCCTCTATTGATTAGACATATCTCGTAAACAGTGAGACATATAACTAAAAAAACATTTATAGTTATATAAGTCTCTTCTACTTATTTCGAATTGTTACATAGGAGTAGTGTTTGTTTTAATAAATAATTATGCTAAAGAGTTGTATATATTTCAATCTCCTAATAATTTTCCCATTCTTTAGACAAATTAAATTTAAACATTCTCATTTTGTGTTTGATCCACCTTGAATTGTGTCTATAATTTCCCTATTTTGTTAGGCTGTAGAGCTCTAGTCTTTTCTCAATGATCATGAACAAACCTTTGCCATCAAATCTACAAATTATTCCAAAAACACATAAAATCAAATTACATTGTTAAAATAGTAAAGAAAAATGTGTCCATAACATTTATTTTAGTCAAACATCATTTTTAATTAGGAAAACGTTTTAAATATCTTTATCAATAAAATACATTGTTGTATATTCCTATGTTGACTTTAGATCCAATAGCGGAGAGATTTGATTGATTCTGAATTAAAAAATTATAATAAAAGGACTTGTTTTACAAGTTAAGAGTAGGTAACACGTCTCCGTGCACGGTCTTTATTTCTAACATTTTCATTTTAGTTGTTGAACTTAAATAGGTAATGCTCCACTGTTTCCTTCAACATATTCATTGATCAATTGAACACAAGTTCAAAAGGAGAACCACATGTTATAAAATCACAATCCCTTTGATTTTTAAGTATAGTTAAGTACTATTTCAATTAATTTTTTAGTTGAGTTTTCCTTATCTAGTAAAAAAATATAGTTATGTGACTTAAGTGAAAAAAATAATAATGTTTTTCCATAAATATTTTGATTTATTGAGATAGAAGTAAAGTTTGTAGTGTGTATAAACAATCTACTTTCTTCAAACTACTTATGAGCTTATAAGTAATAATATGTTGTTGATTTTAGTAAAAAGAAGTTATAGTTATTTGATCATCTGTGAAATTTACCTCGATACTATCAATATAAGTAACTTGAAAAAAAGTACGTCATATAAAATTAAATGAAACAGAGATAGAGATTAACCTAGGCAAGACACAACCATTACTTGGTTGCCATCTATATTTGTTCTCCAAATTTGATGCAATCAAATTCCCTTCATATGAATGGACAAGCTGTTGAATCATACAATGGATATTAATTATCAATAATCCAATTTCCTTCAAATAAATCACAACCATTTGCTTCTGATGACCCAATTAACACTGCTAAAATAATAACAAGAAAATATTTAAACTCATCAATAAAAAATTTCTCCATTTTTTATATTCAGAGGAGAAAAGAAAAAGAAAAGAAAAGAGAATAATTATGTGTAAAAGGGGTTGAAATAATTAATATATATATATATATATATGTGTGTGTGTGTGTGTGTGTATGAAGGGAGGGATTACAAATAAGGAGATTTATTTATTTAAGGTCTTTTTATTTTCAGTAAAAAATTTAATTTTGAAAAATTAAATAAGTTCAAGTATAGTAATTAAGGATATTACATTCCGTAATTTCCCAACTAAGATAATTTGTAATTAATTGACCAATACCAAAAGAGTAGAAAGCAAATTACTCTATTTACTACCATTTATTGTTTGTTGCTTTCGATCAATAATGTTATTTTTTATATTATCCTTTTATTATAATAAATTTTATATTATTGGAAATGATCATAATTAAGAATAAGGGTAATTAGAAATTAAGTGATAAACTATCTCTTCATTTTTTTCAAACTGAACATGTATTAAATAGAGTTACACCGTAGTTAGTTCCTTTTAAGAGACTAAAGTGTTGAACACGTTATTAGTATATATAATTTAAACTCGTAATGGGTTTAAGCTTATACTCAATTCACATACTATGACTCTTATTCTTATAAATTGTGATTAAAATTGATAAAAAAATAATTTAATTCCCCTAATTTATGGAGATCATTTTGTCATGATTTTCATTCTATTTTGATCTAATTATATTTTCTCACGTTTAAAGACATTTCCTTTTTGGTAGTTTGATTTGAATTTCTTTTATAATGATTTTCCAATTAAACTTATTATTTATAAAGCAATTTTCTAAACTTATTAGTTTCCTGAATTAAATCAATAAATATCCTAATTTATAATCAAGTTATTGTCGATTGCTTGCAACTTTAATTTCTTGTTCCAAAATAAGGTAAAAAGAATTTATATTTGGTAATTGTGTGTATGCTTCAATTAGAAGGGAAAAAGGCATTTATTTTATAAATATTCACAAAATTATATAAAATTTATTAACCCTTAGCAATTACAATTAAATTAATGTAGAAATATTTATTATCACTTAAGCTAGTCACGACTCTCTCTCTATATAAATTATATTTTGTTAGTTTGATGTAAATATAATATCGAAAGAAGTACCAATATAAATGAAACTTTTGGTAAAAATTTTCTTTCGATATTTGTATCTATATTAAAATTCGACTAATTTATATTTGCTTCACATAAGATCCCATTTAGGAGAAAATACTCTCTATAAAAAAATAATTCATCTTCAAAACTAAAACCCGATCACACAACGCTTTTGATGGTAAATTTTGGTAAGTTGATAGTTGTGTCAACCTGTTTTTATGTGTGAATGAGATGGTACAGAAAAATGCAAAACAAAAAAGTGACTTTTTTGATTAATTATTATAGAAATATATATTGAGGAAAATAGTTTGAGATGGTACAGAAAAATGCAAAATAAAAAAGTGACTTTTTTGATTAATTATTATAGAAATATATATTGAGGAAAATAGTTTGTTAAAGGCAAGAAAAGGCTGGATCTTTGATGAGCATTTGCAATTTTCACATGGCAACACACCTCACATATGCCTCCCTATTATTTATTATTTCTTTCTCTACCATATGTCTCTCTTATAACAATATAAAATATAATAAATAAACATTTCTCTCATGTAGGGTATGTTTGGTACTCAAAAATATTTTGTCAGAAAATAAGTGATTTTCTTATGTTTAATATACAAAGCAAAAAGTTATTGTCTTAATAGTATTTGTATATAATCTAGTCTGATTCAAAAGAAGCTGATTGAATTTGAAAAAAAATCCTCTTGTCTTCAAAGTGCATGTGTTCTTGGTTTAGCAAACACTATAGGATAGGAGTGTGGGGGGTTGCATTAAGGGTAACAAAATCAAATTCAACTTGTTTAAGTTTAGACGGGTTATTGATCCAATCATTTATTTGCTCAATTTATTTCAATTTAATTTATTTTAATTCATTAAAAAATATTTTGATATGTAACCCAAAATTGATTCATTAAAAAATCTTGTAAAAATAGATTTTACTTGTAAGATTATATTGAATATATTATTGTTATTGTTGTTGTCCTCCTTGATCAATAAATCATAACAGCAAATTGACATTGTATGACATGAAATTGAAAATTGAATCGCAAAACTAAGTTGAAAAACGGTAAAAATAGTCCTAGGATGGGTGACCTTTTTTGAGAAGTTCTCGCGTTGCATTTCTCCTATCAACAAGAGTTGTGATGGGATGGTTAGGACCCCTTCACTCTTAATTACATACTTCGAGTTCGAATCTTTGATATGAAAAAAAAATCATTAGGAAACATTTTCCTCTTTAAGTATAGTGTTTTAAGTTTTACTTGTAATTTAGAAACATTAAAAAAAAATTCCTCCATACCAAGCACACCCCTAATCTTGATTTTATTCTCATGAAACATAAATTTGAATGAATGTTAGACATAAGTATAAATCCTTTGGTTAAAATGTTAATTACATTAGACATTGTTTGTCATGTGTGTGTATTTTATTTAAAAGGATGCTAAGCAGGTTTGTTAGATTTGTTGTTATTTGACAATCAATGATTATAGTATATTCTTTACGATACATAGAACTTATGCTTCATATATGAGCTCATCTGAAGTACATTTAGATGTTGAATTTTGAAAAATAAAATTATATTTCAGAAAAAGTACCTTTACTCTATAAAATGAATATCAGACACAGAACGAGATGTAATAAATTAAATGGAGTGTTTGGGAGAAGTGGGAAAGAGAGATGCATATAGAATATTATTCCAAGTATCAGGAACTCCACCAATACACCAATGTGTACAATCTAAGCCATGTATACCATTGTATATACTTGGATGTCCATCTTTTCTTAGTTGTGTTAGCTTTGTTATGTCAAGTAAATTTACTATTGGCTTTGACATGTTCTTTAATACTTGTTTCACTATGTCCACAGGAATTGGTAATCCACTTGGGTATGTTGATCCTCTTACTGGTCTTGTCTCATTGAAACAATTCTTTACTTCTGGCTCACCCCATTCAGATCCACTGGAAAAAAAAATAGTTGTAAAATATTAGGCAAATAGAACGATATATATGAATCATTTAGTATTCGGGATTTTTACACTAGAAATGTAATCTAAGTTTGGACAGATTGAGTTATGTCTTTATTTGTTAACTTGAGCGGTTGACCCGTTGTTGAACCCTAAATTACCCATCAAATTGGTAAGCATAACTTGCATAAATGTACCCTTCGGCCATCTAGTGTACCAACATGGACAAAATATACACTACTGTATACTTCGACTGTATATTATGTATATAGAAATGTGTATATAAATGTTTAGCATAAAGTATACACTATGTATACATTATATACACATATTAATCACAAAATATTCATCAAAATTACTTTTGTAAAGCATAAAAAAAAAAACACAAAATTTAATAATTTGAAGGATGAAAGTTCTTACTGGTAATGTGTGGCTGATGCTCCTTGATAAAATACTTTGGTTTTCTTTGTATTAATATCTCTTTCAACCCATTTAGCCCATGTCTTTAATCCTATACGAAATGCTTCAATACGGTTCATGTCCTTGGATACCGTGCCATTATTTTCAACAAAATCCCATCTACAACACATACAAAAATATACTTCAATTAGACCAATTAATCATATATAATGAATAATGAGAACTCTAATTATGATATACGTAAGCTAGCGTTTGATCGTAGATTCAGTTGAAAAAATCTACTAGTAAAATCTATGATCAAACGGGTTGTGAATGTTTAAGTATACATACTGTTGCTTAGAATCGGCTCGTAGATACCAAAGCCAAGTATTAAAGATCAAAACGTCAGCTTGCTTCCAAATTTCTCCACTTTTAATGGAATTTAGTTTTAATACTCTTCCAACATTGGGTACCACTTCAATGTCTACCAAATAATTTGAATGAAATAGTATCACTTCAACTCCATAATCCTGCAAATTAAATTTGTAACACGTATATAAGGTTTGAGCTTAAGTTACTGCATGCGATTATAAGAAAAAGACGGGATTGACCTCAAAAGTGACGGAAACAGAATGTTTATTTATTTGTTGCTTGAATTTGGATTTGGGGAGAGCAGCATGAAGCAAACATAGAAGGGATTCAAAGTTGTTAAGACTTAAAGAATCCCCAATATACATTATCTTTTTTCCTTTGTATCTTTTCATGAAATTTTTCCCATCAAATCTGCAAAATTATAATAATTAATATGAATTTGATATATAGTATTATACAATTAATTACATTAATCATATATATTAATTAGTAGACAATAGTAATTAATAATTCAAGTAATGATAAAATGTCATATTCATGAGATTTTCTCAAGTGAGTGTGTGAATGATAATATGACTTTATATAAAATCTGAATGATTCATAACTAGTAATTAACAACTAATAAGTGGTCGCAAAAGAAAAAAAGATTCATACCTCGATTAAGCAGGCAACATAAAAAAGAGAAAAATACGAACCTTGATAAGACACAACCCTGGGTTGCCATCTATATTTAAGATAATCAAGATTAGGTTTGCCATATTTGATGCAATCAAATTCCTTTCTTATGAATGGACAAGTTGTTGAATTATACAATGGATATGAATTATCAAAAATCCAACTTTCTTCGAATAAATCACAACTCTTTCGACTAATATTAGTGACTACCTCATGAGCATTTGCTTCTAACAAGCAAAAACTTACTATTATAACAACAAGAATAGGAGTAATATTTAGAAAAATGCCAAATCTTTCAACTACTTTATCCATTGGAAAAAAAAAATGGAGAGATATATTTGAAAGCTAATTTTTGGCTCTATATATAATCAAAAGGTTCTATTTGAAAGTTATTGGATGATATTTCTCATAAAATTAAAAAATAATTATCTTCTAAGACGTGGTGTAACATGCATGTAGTACTAATTTAAAATTAGGATTAATACCATTTTTAAATATTATGTTTCAATATTTTCACATGTAGCACACATGGTAAACTCACATAGAGGAATCACGCATCTCCTTATTCTCAATTTCTACTCTCTCCGTCTAAATTTACGTGACACTTTTTAAAATTTTAAATTCAACAAGTTTTTATTTGACTGTAAGTTTTTTATATATCTTTTAAATAATTTTAAATAATTAACTATTTTGACTTATATTACTTTTTATGTAGTTTTCAAATATGTAAATTTTATTCAAAAAGTTTAAACTTTTTATACTTGAATTTACCATCAAAATTAAATAGTTTTAACTTTCAAAATCGATTTGTGCAACATAAAGTGAATTATGGGAGTACTATTTATATTATTCCTCGTTCTTGCATGTCTGCAATTTTAAAATAAAATGGCATAAAATAAAGTCAAAACATTCTAATAAATCATATAATAAAAAAGAAATTTTTTAAAAAACGACACTGGTATTGCAGATGTTGGCTAACCCCTTCTCACGTTTAAAAAATTAATAGTTATTATTTTATTATAAATAAGGGATCAGGAAAAAAATGAAAAAAATAATTAAAAAAAGATAGTGAGAATTAAACTCACACATATTATAGGAGAATTTATAACGAGCTAAGTTCACAAATAGTCGATTTTAGGACCATCATATCGTATAAGTTATATTAATAGTGCATTAAAAATTTACAATTTTAACTACTTTTCAAATATTTCAAACATTTGAGCCCGAAGTTATAAAATCTTTTTTAAAGATGGGAGGTCACTTATATGATTAAACTTCTTGTATATATGGTTGAAGGTGATATATGAATAAATCTATGCACAAAAATAAAATTATTATTCGAATTTCAAAAATCAATAAAGATTTGACGCTCAAAAAATAATGTTAACTCTATATAGAGCTCTATCAAATGTTATGTCCCAATGCTATGTGTATGCGAATCACTAGCCTATGTTTTTTTTATGTTATCTTCATTTTTACATAAATTTTCTTGTTTTTATTAGGTATTTGAGTCCTAGTATTGAGTATTTTTCTTGCTTCACTTGATAGTTCTTTAAAATTGGTTGCTTGTATCATTCGTTCAATATTTTTTAAAATAAAATTGATCAACTATTATGTCAATCATTATTTTCTTAATAAATGTGTCAATTTAAAATGGACTAGTAATTAGAGACTGAGGAAATAGTTGATTGCCCTTTTGGAACATTTGTATGTACTTGATAATTATTCATCCCGTGTTGAATGTCCTCTATCGGACATATTTTTTTTACATATATATTTTTTTGTTAAAAGAAGAATTTTACTTTATATATATATATATATAAATGATTATGCACAATGTCAGTTCATAAATTTATTTAGCCCAACTTTTCTTTAGAAAAATTGGTCATTCGGTCATATTATTTACTAAAGAAATTAATGGCCGACGCAAACTTTCTCTTCTTCTTCGTTGTTTCTCCTTTTTAAAAACTAAAAAAAATTACGTGAATTTTTTCGTGCGAATTTATCAAATATTCAACACATCGAGAGGATTGCATATCTAAAATTTGAGAGTGTTTAATTAGAAGTGATTTTGAGTTGGTCGATATTGAATAGACAATATTTACTTCATGTATAAAAAAAACTTTTTGAGTGTATCATAATGTATGATCAGTGTATACCAAATGTATATGTAAGTTATATTTAATTTTTTGAGTGTATCATAATGTATAGTCAATGTATACTTTCTATGACTTTTGACTATTTTTTATATAAAGAAAAACATGACTATATTTATTATAAATTAATTATTTTATTGTATATATTTAAAATTGTCCTTAAATATTATGCATCAATCCAAATATAATGGCATCATTTCTGCCTAATAACATTAGAATTACAATCCATATAATTTAAAGGTAATCTTGTTAGTTCCGCATGACTAACATCTAGGGTCAGATTTCAAATTAAATTTTAGGGGTTCAATTATTAAAACTCTTAGCAACAAATTTATTACATTTTTAAAATTATAAATTTTGACATATTATTTACTTTTACTGAATTTTATATATAAACTTATATTTTATATCAAAAGTATTAAATTTAGATGACCTCGATAACAAAATATATTGCATTCCCCTCTAATTATCAACCACCAACTCCATGGCACAGGCCCAACTACCAACACATAGCCTTTTCACACTATTTTTTGCTTAAAATTCTAGAATGAAATCATAAATAGATAACAAAAATTGTTACAAATTTACAATTACAAGCAAAGTTGTACCCATTAATTAGTAACATTCTTACTAGCTTTTGGTTATATCGTTCTAATTTTATCGGATGTCTCACGAACACTTACTAGCGTCTATCTAGTTAGTTCATGGTCGGATCTTAAGACATAATATCCAAAATTGCATAATATGCTATCAATAGAGGTAACGAAATTATGGTGCCAACAATCACCCTGAAATTAAGAAAAATTAAATGTCATTAATAACTTTGATTTAATAAGTAGAAAAACAACTATAAACCTTACATAATCTAATTAAATTTTTATTTTTTCAAATGTATTAAAAAGTTAAATAGGACTTACGCAGTGCTAAGTACATCAGCATGAAGTCCATATTCTTGAGCATATACGAAAGATGTCACTGCTTGGGGTAATGCAGCCTGCAAAAAAAATAAAAAATACAAAACTTTTAATAATTTCATTATATTAATTTTCAGAACCATAACAATTTTATGATTAAAAGTTGTGAAATCAATATATATATATTGATGCACCTGAATGTCAAATCATGTAGTACAATATTTTTAAGATAATGTCAATATTATTAAACTAAAAATTTAAGCAAATATTTATAAATGAAATAATAAAATATAGGGATAAGGGCCTGAAAAATACCTAAACTTTGGTCAGATTTGCTGTTGCGATACTAAACTTTCATGAGGACCTATTACCTCCCTAGATTATTTAATACCGTATTTTTTACCCCTTGAACTATTTAATAGTGTATTTTAAAGGTATATATGTGCCCACGTGGACTCATTACTATTTATAATTTTGCATTATTTTTTATGTCCACGTGGGCAAATATATATGTTTAAAATACGGTATTAAATAATCTAGGGAGGTAATAGGCCCTTATGAAAGTTTAGTATCGCAACAGCAAATCCGATCAAAGTTGATATATTTTTCAAACCCTTATCCCTAAAATATAAGTTCATATGAATAATGAATTTAATTTTTTTATGATTGCATATTCAGTTTAGCAAATCAATAGATACTGGTTAATTATTTTTTTTTCAATTTTACCTTTATTATTAAGTAACCATTTTTCAAGACTATTGAAATACTAGTAATTAATTTGGATTTCCAGAATACAATTTATAAGGGTAACATGATAAAATAACCATTTCCTGTAAGGAGAATGCAAAATACAATTTGAACCGATAAAAGGGAACAAAAGAAATATATATTATATAATTAATTATAACTATAGTGTATGCTCCGAGCCCTTTGTAACACGCATCAACAATGAGGATAACAAATTACTCATACTATCGTATCATTTATAAGATAATTACAAATAAATAATAGTTAAAAGTCGAAATATTAATTTAAATTTATAAGATAATTACAAATAAATAATAGTTAAAAGTTGAAATATTAATTTAGTAGTTAATTACCTGAATAATCGCGATACGTAAAACATTTCCTCTCAAGCCCAATACAACACAACCAAGTGCCATTGTTGCTGGTCCAACAACAAATCTCAAAATCATTGCATAAATTGTCAATGCAGCTCCACATGCAATTATTTTCCCTTGCAAAGCCATGAATAATCCTAAAAATAAAATTAAAAAGAGAAAACACTCTTGTTTAGTGAAAAAGAATGACATTAATTAGTCTCTAATTATTTGTCCACTTTTGAATTATCACACCTATTAAGAAAATAATGATTGACATAATGAGTTTACCATTTTATTCCTATTAATTATGAAGTAGATGAATTAAAAATTTAAGATTTTCAAGAAGTTCTACCTTTTCAAAAATTAATTACTTGAGGGTATAATAGGTAAAAAAAAATGGTCCTTTCTTGATTTGTCAAAATGAACAAGTAAAAAAGAAAAATTGGACAAGTAATTAGAAACAAAAGGAGTACTTAAATTAGCCGAGCTTTTGGGAAGTCAGAAGCGTGTGTTTTTTGTGAGTTGAGATGCTAGAGTAATCTTTCAGGAGACGTTTGGTTTATGAAATAAGATAGAATATCCCACGATTAAGTTTGGAATTAAATTTCAACTTTGTTTGATTACATTGAAGGTATAAATAATCTCTCGATAAATTTATACCTCAAACTTGATGTTACTGATTTGTCCCACCTTGGAGGTGGAATAAATTAATCCAAAAATTATGATCTCGAGATAATTTTCTTTGGTAACCAAATAGAAAAATAAGTGTTTTTAATTAAGTAGTAATTGAACGATTAAAACTATTTTTTGAAGCAGAAAAAGTACTCTAGTTTCTTTTCCTAAATAAACACTTTTTGGAATTTTGTATTTTAAAAATTTGACCAAATAAATTACAAATTTCGATAATTTTAATGAGAAGTCATTTCTGGTCAAAATCAGTTCATAAAAAGAACAAAAATGGTTGTTAGTTGAACAAAAAAATCAGAAGTTATTTAATGCTAGTCTTTATTTCATTAAATAAAGGATCAAAAGTAATTGCTATTTTTACATTAATTAAAAGACACTTACCCATACTAAACATGGCTACTCCAC